TGTTAACAAAGTAAAAATATCCAGACGAAAAAAAAATTGAAGTAATTTCATTATGAGTAACACTTTTGATCATTATATCATCATCATATCATTGATCATTGTAACATCGATATTTGTTGCCATGGAGCCTTCCATTGCAACAAATATGTCTGTTAAAATTACGTTAAAAGTGCGTAAATATACAATGATGCTGTTTTTTATTATTTAAAATATTTAACTACAAGTGAACCTATATCAGTTACTATATTTTATTCATCCTAAAACCCCATTAGTGTTGGTCTATTATGGTTTTGCCGTGTTAATCTACTATTTACCTACACCGCATTTTAGCTCTATTTTTGTTATTTACTGTCGTTCTTTCGCAACATTTTTGAACCAATTGCTTTATGTTAAGAGTGACTCCTCTACTGAGGATCTTTACCTGAATTCCCCAAAGAAGCAAGAAGGTATTAATTTCTGCACGGGGGATATACCTATTTTATCGAATTTAAAGATGAATCAATTCACCTTTAATATAAACATATCAAATTATTTTCTAAAATTAAGCGTGCCCCCAAACTTTTTGAACAGTGAATTATATTTACTTAAAACCAACTATTAGTCGCGGAAATATCTAGTGTACTGAAAAGTATAGGTACTGTTCCCCCGACGGAAGTAATTGACATTAAATCAAACACTTTACCATCGTACGCGTTTAATCGTACAAAAAAAAAAACAAACTATGGATTGAAGAACAAGTGGGATATGCCCTTTATTGAAGCTCAGAAATGCGAAAGAGTATGTAATTTCATTTACAGAGCATACCATTTAAATTGGAAAATATAAGAAACTCTTACGTGCGAAGGATTTTTTGCAAAAAACTATTATAGAGTACATTTATATTGAATAAAGCTCTTACATTACAAGGGCGTACATTTGATAACAATCTTTTAAATCCATGGGCATAAAAAGCAGATTTTTACATTGCAGTAGGGTATTTTCTTGTTTTTTTTAAATTTTAGTCTAACATACGGCCGCTAAAATTGCTGTCGTACGTTTATCTGATTACGTGTAATTTTTTCTGGGGGCGTCCTGAGCTAATATTATAAATTGTTTACACCACGCAGCGGGTCTTAAGCACACAAAATAGTATTAATATTTAAGCCTACTCTAGAGTTTTTATACATAATAATTTACATGGTCCATACTATTACATATATTTTAATAACAAATGAAATTAATAACGACTTAAGTAATGGTTACAACGTTTAAATTAGCAATTGGTTTTTTAACACAAAGTACCTAGGTTTTTATTAGTACACGTTTTGTTCTTCAATTTGTTTTAATTCGTGACACGACCGGGCAGTAATAATACTCGTAATGCATTGTCTAATATTGGGTTTTTTAATCCTTAAGAATTAGTCTGTTTGTGGTGAAAACGTTCAATGTTAACTCGCCGCCACATTTCACGTTTATAGGCTTATACTCGTGTTTTTATTATATATATATATTAAACCTAACATCTAATATAAAAGTTGAATATCCAATTGACAATTTTTAATTGAGTTTTAAAAAATTTTGAACTTTTTTTTTATCGTTTGTGTAAACTGGGGTCGAGATTTGTTTGCAAAATTTTAAATTTTTAAAGTTATTTTACCACCAGGATATAGCCAAATCTTAATGTTGTTTTTTAAAAATAACATTTTTTTAAATATATAATAAGAACTATCTATCAATAAAGCGATAACGAAATTATTTAGCGGCAAAATTTTATACCATGGCTGATTTAACAATACGTTTTTGTTCTCTTAAACGCATGTTATGCCCGAAATAAAAATTTAAATTTTTACACTACACTACTAGTATAAAAAAAAAAAAAAAATTAAGTAGCAAGTAATGAATGTATAATGTTTCACCAAAATTATTGTATTAAAATTTAAAACTTTCCAGGTTTGTTCTATTTTAGAACAAATATAAGAGTTTTCATCATATTATTATTCGTGAAAACCCTACGAGCCTAAAAGCATTGGGGAACTATATCCCCCTGAAGTGACCGGCCAATTCTCGTAATAAAAATTCGGTCCAATTCAGATCCGATTCCGATCAACTCTCGCCTTACAACGTCATAAAAAGATCCAATATTTATTGGGAATGTGATTATATCGTATTGTGACTGAAATTGAATCGGAATATGTTATCTTAGTAATACTTTACTAAGAAAATAACTTTTATACAGTTGCAGATCAAGGTTTGATCGGAACGAATTTTGACCCACTTTTTTAAAGAGAATTGAAATCCCGAAAACATAAAATTGTATTACTTTTAGAATTTTTAAAGAATTTGTTACATTTAAAGAAAAAACAACAAAAAGCGATTATTGTCGAAAGACGCCGAATACTTCAAAAACATTCACAAAGATATTTTAAATTTACAATCACTACATCATATGTATTACACTTAAACGAATAAGGGAACTTTTTTTTATATAATATCAACAAATCTGGTCAAACTTTGCTTCTTAGCTAATACCTACGTTCATGTGAGTATTAAATATAGTTTTATAACAAGTGTAAGCGAAAACCCAAATACATGAGTATATTTCAATTTACAAGTACCTACATATATGAGAATTTTTCACATTTTTCTCATTGAGATTTTTTTAAAAGCCTTTCACCGATGTTATCATAATCAACGTGAATCATAATTATTATTTTTATTTAAATTACACTCACATCCATTTAAAAAAAAATACAAGGAACTGTGTATTTCTTGGGCTACGTGTGTATTTCGTGGTCTTTTTAATTGACAAACTTTTAAATTATTATTGAACTAAGTACCCCTCACTATTCAGAATTAATTGAACATATTCCTTTTAGTCATAGGTTTATTTATCAGCCTGGCGATTGTATTTCTATCATAAAGAAAAAACTAGCACAAAAATAAACATAAATAGTTATTTTGATACGTACGATAGGCTTCGAGAAAAAGTTTTTTTAAAGGATACATGAATGGTAAATTTTTTGCTACACAATTAAAATACCTTATTTTTTGACAAATATACAAAGCGCCATTTTTCTAATATATGAACACTAGAGTACATATTATAATTTAGCGGAGTATCTAGCAACACTCTATTACTTATTTGTATGTATCTATTTGATAGAAAAAGGTAATTGTAACAAAAAAAAAAAGTAAAAACAAGTAAGTTAAAATTTTTTGTCAGTTCTTTATTATTAAAATTTTTTATCGAAATAGTACATTTCACATTTTACGATTATCAGTAAGTAATTACAGAATTGGAATGGTTAACGTATTAGTGATCAGTAATGAAAATAAATTGAAGAATTATGACATAGTGAGAGGTATTTTGAGTCAATTGAAACAAGTAATTTGTCGGAAGTAGGTAGTTTCACAACATACTATTTACTAATATTTCTATTTGGATAATAGCAACAGGAGTAATCTGGTAACGGAGATAAAAATTAGAATCTATGATCTATTACATTGATTTCCGTGTTGGTGACGGATAGAATACGGAGTGTTACCACCCAATGATCCGTGGTATGTCGTAAGAACACGATAAGGGAACAAACTACGCAGACAACAGCACTGCAAGAGAAAATTAAAACTTGAAACAAACCCTATACAACCCGTTGGCCAGCTGGTATAGTAGGCCCAAACATCTTTCTAATGAGAGGCCTATGTCCAGCAGTGGACTATTAAAGGCTGTTGATGATGATGATGATTACATGGATTAAATATTTACAGCATTTCACTTAGTAGTTAGGAAATAAACGCTAGTATATCGGCAACTAACAAATAAAATACTACTTAATTAAGTATCAACTACATAAGATGACTAGGTTCGATGACTACAGCTGTTTCAAATATTTATACTTATAGTAAAAAGTACAAAATGTAATAAATTTTATAACTTTCCCAAATAAACTATTGTATTAATTCGTCACACATCGATGGTACTGGGTAAAATATGATTTATAAAATTATACTGTCATTTAAAGTAAGAATATGTTGAATTATTTAAAAATTTAAATAATATCACTAATGCCACTATTTGAACAGTATGTACTCATTTTATTTTCTTGTGACTAGATAACATTTTGAAATGTAACCTCTCTAGAACTATGTAAGATTCAAGATTAATCACATTTAAAGCGAGTTGATTTTCTTTGGCTTTAAGGCAAATATTAAACTGGTTTTCGATAATTTTCATGATTCAAAATTTCTGAAGCATAAAAGGTTTTTATCTAATGGTATAAAATCAAATCATGTTAAGTTTCTTTTGAATGTATTAGTAATTTCAGTGTGATGCGCGGTCAAGGTAGGTATGGACCATAGGAGAGCCATGCTTCCACGCATATGGGCCAGCTCGACCACAGTGTTATCTCGGCCTCACAGAAAACAGGTTTAAAGCAATTATTCGTTGCATTTCACAATGCCACTCGTCAAGATACCTGTCAATGTTGATTCGCAACTGTTCTCGCGGTTGGCTACCGGAAATGCTAGAATACCTGGTAGGACTATTTAATTCCATCATGAAACTATCACAATTATTTCTTGATTGACAAAAATACCTAATCTTTATGAAAATGATAGAGATATTCTACTTTCGCAGTCACAAGCCGTAAAAAATATGTAATAATTCAACGATTTTTAGTTTAAATTCAAATGCCCATATTGTGCGCAAGCAACTCCTGTGCTTAACAACGCGTGTTCTGAAATGTTACCAATTGATCTGACCACTATCCACTATGTCTACATTCCGTGATGCATTACGTACAAGTGATTAATTAAAAACATCATTAGTACATACAAAATGTTGTGTGTATGTTTTTTGTTTGTGTATGTACTTTATTTAAAAAAAAAGTTCATGTTGACTTGAAATGGATTGAATTTGAAAAAATTAAAGAACTTTATGTTTCTTAAACGTTATCTTCACGGTTACCAAAAAAACAACTAAAAGCATTATATACCTATAGGAAGATTCGAATTAGCCCTCTTTATTTGAAATGTGTAGCTTTATTAGTGAATTTTAGTTTTAAAGTATATGCCCACACCTTCCTGTAACGTATTTGACATTATTATTTAATAGCAAGAAATAAATTATTACATGCATAAGTATAATTAATATTTAAATCACGATAATAACAAGCACGCTTTACTAAAATAACACTGTGAATGTAAAACTACTTAATCACTTAAAATTACCTAAGTTTTACACTAGCTTTTCTATTGTGATAATTATCGAACCATTTTACCATTAAATACCTATTTTATAAATATATAGAGAAAACTAACATCGATGCATTTTTTTATCATAAGACAAGAGCGTTTTTTTAAAAGTTAGCTATAAATGTTTTTTTAATACTATGATAACAAGAGAATAGGCCGACTATTGTCAAATAATCAAACACATACTTAACTTAAATACAAAATTACAACTAAAAATAAACTATGTTTCCAACATCTTATTTCATATTGCAAATAAAATAAATCATTAATACACTGTGAAATATTTTAATAACTAATAAGAAAATATTTGGCTTTATTGTACTTAAAAAAAATGTTTTTACGAACGAGCAGAATAATTTCGTTTCATTCCATATCCATATTATTCGAACACATTATCAGACCATAAACAAAACAAGTTTACTGACATTGACAGCCTAATAGCCAGGGATACAAACATAACGAATTAATGTTACCAGTAACAAAAATTATAAGTTGAGACACAATCAGGGTTTGTGAAATCGCCGAATATATTAAGTTCGTAAAGACTGGCCAGGGTGATGAAGAGAATGTACCATACCTTAGGACTGCGCCGAATTTTCGATCTAGTTTCCAGCCGTTAGCATGAGTTGCCACGACCAGGAAGACAACAGTGGAAAATAGAGATAGCGTCGAGTAGATCAAACCTAAAAGTAAAAGAGCAATATATTTTCTACTGTAATATAAATAAAAACATCTTGTAAGGTAACGCTGGCATTGTATTGCCAAGGTTTATAGCAAGTAATTCTACTACCGCTAGTCTCCTTCTATAAGATGGGCCTCCATATTCAAGAACTCAATTTAATCCGTTCGTCCGGGTGAAAAATCTGCTAGTCTTACCTTTATGATAAACGTTGACATGGCTACCAGGATGTATGATAGCTGTTTGATGAACCATGGCAGTCCAAGACAGACTAGGATGTCAAATACATTAGATCCTACGGCGTTGGATACGCCATATCACCGTAACTGCAAATAATGAAGCACAATCGAGATCAGATTCTTTTTAAGCTTGAAATTATGGAAAATAAACATTTGTACACCTAATGTTCGAATATGTAACGATAACATAAGGCATAGGTACTTTACGTTGTTGGTCCGGTTTCTTTTCAATCATATCATTAAAAAAGCCATCCTGTTACACCGAAATGATTATCAAGAGAATTGTATGTGAAGAGAGTGCTGACAATTATTTAATTACAGAATATTCCTAATTCTTTAGTGAAACGTATTATCGTGAGTATTTTGGATATTGGGTTATTTTGAGGGCTGTTCAGGCTTTATCGGACTCGACACACATGTCGACATGCTATGTAGCCCGATCTGACAGGAGAAATTGAATCAACAAATAAAAATTACAAGAATCTCTATGGTAGTCATTAAAAAAAGGTTAATTGAAATGAGGAATATACTCACCCTTCTTTAATGACAGCGAGTGAGGATGAGCGCGTCAGGCACGGATACGCCAGCTGCGACGAAGGTCAATCCCATGACTGTATCGGGGATCCCAGGGTATAGCCTGAGATGAGAATATAAGAAAAGGTACACCTTTCAGATACTTTTACACTTAATGTACGTAATATGTTGACATTACCTATCTAAAAAAATGCTAAAAAAATTTAAGATATTTTACACGTAACTTGATGAAACCCCGTAATTGGGGTTTTGAAAAACCCATTAAACCTTTA